CTCTAATTTTTGGTCCACAAACTTAAGTTGTTAACCTTCCAAAAAAGAAGCTTAATGATATTATCCTGTAACATAGGCAGTTGAGCTTAATATCACTATCTGTCTGAATACTATACACCTTAGACATAACATGGAATAGGTTTTTTTCCAACAATTGTTGATATGATAAACTTTAAATCCCTATTGAATGTGAAAAAAAATAAAATAATTACATAAGAAAATAAAAATAAACAAGTACACATTTTTACACAGAAATTTAGAAATCTAACCATATACAATATTGTAGCAGGACAGTCCTATGACATTTTTTTCTTGTCTCTTATTTTCTTTTATTACTTTGTACTATGACATAATCTGTCTTCATAGCATCATAGTAACTAATAACCCTGGCCACTGCTCTCTGCCTAAGCAGGTGCTTTAATCTACTGGGCTATCTGGCCGGCCCTCAGTTATGATTTGCTGTGTACTTTGTTCAATGTGCGACAACACTGCTAGGCAACGTACTCATTTATTTCTTTTTTAGCCATATTTATTTCTTGTATTTTGCCTTGTCGCTGGAACCTGTGTCCTGCTTCATTTATAGCATGTCATAGCAAATAACTCTGTACAGTGCTTTGGATTTTCAGGTTCTTCTCACATATTTTAGCTCAATTAATCAGCCCAAATCCTATTTTTAGACTCCAGTATATAGTTTAACCAACCTAAACTCAGTGACCTTGTGTAATACACCAAAGTCAAAAATAACAAGTGAAAGAATTAAAATAATAATTAATGATGCCAAACTCCCTTTTCTTTCTGGAGAGCCCCACTGCCATGGGTGTCTATAGCGATACTGTCTCCTTCAGCAGCTATCTATAATACTTGGCACAATATAGGGCACAGAGTGGGTTTCTATTTAATATCTTTTAAATTGTACGTGAATAAATACTAACATTTCAGAATGTATGAAATCCAAACCTTCAGTTTTATACAGAATAAGACAGGAACCTATGATTGAATAAATTATGCAAGAATAGTTCATTTTAAGCTTACAGTAAACTTCCCTTAATAGTAGTCCACTGAAGCCAATAATTTTTATTATGTTGCTATTATTGCTTTATACATTTAACTCAGCAGGTCTGCTGCCAGCTTATAACTGTTCTCATTGTAATTGTTCAACACAAAAACAAACTTGCTAATGTCTGAAAGGGTGAGAGTCCTGAATGCTTTCCCACACAGTGGTCAAAGAACCTTTGCTGCAGTGTGATTTTCCCACTGGTGAAAGGAAGAGTCACCAGCTTAGAGAAGACAGAAAAAAATGCACACATTAAAGTCATACAGAGAAAAGAAAGAAGGGAAAAGGATACATTTATGTATATGTGCAGGATAATTTGGATAATTGTACGGCCAATTTCTGCCGATGTTTTGAAAGAAGCAGTTAATACTTAAAACTGTTTTCTTTTTTCCTTTTTAATTTCCTATAACTTATTTTTTAAACCAGTTTTTCATGTTTATATCTGGTAACCTAAAAAACTAATTTGAATATAACATCATACAATATAGCAGCCATTGTTGAATTCTTGTTGCTTTGTTTAGTGAAATTTTGCATTGTTTCTAATGCTGTTTTTTATTATTACTGGTTTTTTTTTTGGGGGGTGGGGTACCAGGGATTGAACTCTGGACCTTGTGCCTGCCAGGTGAGCACTTATTCCACTGAGCTCTCTCCCCAGCCCTACTGTTTTTATTCTTTAAAAAATAAAAGAAGAAAGTAACACAGAGATAGGTGGGGAATGTAGTTCAGCAGCATACGTGACTGCCTAGCAAACACAAGGTCCTGAGTTTGATTCCTGATCCTAGAAAACAACAAAAAAGTAACACAAAGCAACACTTTCCTGCTTTCCTCAACATCACTTTCCTTGACTGTTGCAAAGCACCAGCCTCCCACTTCCAACCTTTGATTTCTCAGGATGTCAAGGTTTGATTCCAGTTCCATTTGGTAATGATGTGACTTTGAGAAATTGCATGAATTCCTTCTATAATTTGGAGAACTCTTTAAGAGAAGAGGGGAATTAAAGAATTAAGAAATGTCATGGAGGACCAGAGAAATAGCTCAGTGGACTAAGTACCTACTTAGGCAAGCACAGGGACCAGGCTTCGAACCCCAGCACCACAGCCACCGAGATTGGGAGTGGTGGTGCACACTTATAATCCCAGTGCTGGGGAGGCTGAAAACAGGAGGATCACTATGAGTTTGAACTGTGCAGTGAGATCTTGTACCAAATACATTTTAAAAAGAAAAAGAAGTGTCTTGTACATATAACAACTCCCCAGGATGAATATAATCATTGTATACTACAAGCATATCCCTATAAAAAATAAGTAAAATGATGATTAAGATCATTCAAACAGTTGCTGTGAATAACTGGAATATACCACAAACCCTTGAATCTTCCTTTCCCTCCCTAGAGGGAACTCATCACCACAGCTATTGCCTGGGCAAATCCTCACAGGTTCTTTCAACATTTGCTTGGTCCCACAATCTTACCTTCTTTTAAAATTAATAATTATACTTCATAATACTGTATATTTAATCACTCCATGAAGTGAAATACTATTATCAACCACATGTACCAAATGGCTTATGATAGAGGTCGTGGTCCGCTATAATGTTCAAGTGTTATTCATATTTTATAGCCTCTATTATCAAGAGATTTTGTATTTGAATTTATACTATAAAATTAGTAACCAATATTTTACAGTTATTTGATAATATAAACTTACAGCATGTTTTTCCCTTCTATATAATTTATGAAGTTCAGAGCACCATGTCTTCTCATTGTTTGGGGGTATCTTTTGTTTCAGTATTTATTTGGTATCTATTTTTGGCCATATTTTCCTTGTTTTATAATTTAAAAAATTTTAGAGGCATCTAGCACACCCTGATTTTCTATCAAAATAAATGTGGCTAGGTTTTATTGCATCTAGCAATTGTGGCTTCTTAAAATAAAGACAGATGATTCTATTTATTTATGTATTTATGCACCAGGAATGGAACTCATGACCTCACACTTGCCAAGCAGGTGTTGTGCCACTGAGCTAAATCCCTGGCGCAACATAAATGATTCTTTTTTTTTTTTTTAAACAAAATGTATTTAGTACAGGGTCTACAGGGTCTCACTACACAGATCAGACTCATAGTGATCCTCGTCTTTTCAGCCTCCCAAGTGCTGGGATTATAGGCGTGCGCCACCCCGCCCAGTCTCAGGTGCCATCTCAGTGCGTCCTGGAGACGGAGCCAGCACAGCACACTGGGGATCGAACCCCAGTCCTTGAGTCTGCCTAAGCAGGCGCTTTAATCTGCTGAGCTATCTGGCCGGCCCTCAAGATAGATGTTTCTTAAGGCAATATCGTAATTTAACATTTTGAACATTATATCAATGTTCATTTATTTTTAGTTTTGCTATAAGAAGACATTAATAGAGAAGCTGGATGCTCTGCATAACCACCTGAAATTTACTCCAGGGCCTGGTTCTCAGCAAAGCTGAGTCTGCTCTTCCCCTGTTCTATGCTGTTTTCTTTCTTTCTTTTTTTTAATAATAATTTTATTGAGAAAGAAGCAGTTATCAGACATTTTCAAACAGATTAGTAGGACAGTTACAATGTTGTCTTTGTAGTAGTTATTCATAGTACAAGATGCAGACAGGATATCTTGTATAAACACTATGAATTCAAAACTGTCCTCTCATTGAACTAAGAGAAAGTAGCTGTATATCTATGCTAATTATTTTGTATATACAGATAGATATAGATACAGATATATATATATATATAGATACATATAGATATAGATATAGATATAGATATAGATATATGGAGAAAAGCTAGGAACATAGTGGGGGCAAAACCATACATTTATATGCACAAGATGGTTAAGGCAATGATCCTGAGAATCTTCAGCAGGTTTTGAAGCTAGCAGTTAATTGGTCGAATTCTCACCCTAAATGATATATGCTGATACCTGTGAACTAATCAACTGTACTGAAGATAGCAATGTATAATACTAGGGCCATGCTTGGAATGCCTGTCATTCTGGTCTTCCAAAAGCCTACTATTTCTAATGTCATATCAATTACTGCTATACTGTCTCTCAAGTAGATGTTTGCTTAAAAAAGAAAAGAAAAAAGGTAATAAATGAAAACGAGAGAGAATAAAAAAAAATGGCATAGGGCTGACCTGCTACAGTGTTGTATATGGAAAGATTTATAAATTTCTGTGTAAAAATTTGTAATTGTTTATGCCATTTTCTTTTCTTCCAAGTCAGTCACACTCCCAACCACATATCCATGATCTCCTACTCTTATTTTTTAAGTCCTTGTTCTGTATTCTGTTCTATTTTGGCAAGTCCCATTCAACTTGCTTTATATTAATCAAAACTATTCCTTTGCCTTATTTCTATTAACATTGCAAATGCAAGGGAAGAGCTCATCACTGTGGGCATTAGGCAGCGCCAGCCAAAGGAAATTATACAAAAATGCATGGGCCACGTAGGCAAGGCACTTGATAGTTACACAGTGCTTTTAGTTCTAGCTTTTGTTTTTCATTAATTCATCTGTAGTTAGGCTACTCTTATGAGCACAGTTCATTAGTTAACTCCTTCTCTCATACCTTGTTATGTTCATATTGAGGCTATAAGGTTTTTTTTTTTTAAAGCACATTGTGTCCTCGAATTCTCTGCATGTTTTAAGTAGAAATAATGAAAGCTATATGAACCGCATCAGTCTATTACCTGATCATATTATGGGAATCCTCTAGGGTTGGATGATTATAGCATTTAATAGATGCTAAAATTGAAGCCAAAAAAATTGCTCATAGCAGCACCACCACAGTTCAAACTCAGTTTAATGTGTTTCTCTGGTGCCAGCATAAATACGAACTCAAGCATATGCCTTCGTTTCATGCATTGTGAGCACCAGCAAAATCTTTCTGTTTTCAAAGTCCTCTCTGATTCTTCTCCCCTGCAGATGGACCCCCATGAGAACATTTTACTGAGCACTCTTGAGATCAAAAATGAAATGGCCACGTCAGAGGCAGTGATGGGACTCGGAGACCCTAGGAGCACAATGCTGGCTTATGATGCCTCCAGCATCCAGTACCGGAAAGCTGGCTTGCCCAGGCATAGTTTTGGCCGAAATGCTCTGGAACGACACGTGGCACAGAAGAAAAGTCGCCTGAGGAGACGTGCCTCCCAGCTGAAAATCACCATCCCCGACTTGACTGATGTCAATGCCATAGATCGATGGTCCCGCATATTCTTCCCAGTGGTCTTCTCCTTTTTCAACATCGTCTACTGGCTTTACTATGTGAACTAAAATATGGCCTCCCATGGGAAGCAAGGACTCGATTCTTCCTCAAAACAGTTGTACAGCCTGATGTAGGACTTGGAAAACACACCAAACCAGGACAAAAGTGATGCTAAAATACCTTAGTTGCTGGCCTATCCTGTGGTCCATTTCATACCATTTGGGTTGCTTCTGCTCAGTAATGAACACACTAAGGTCCTTGTGGTTTTCCTGTTAAAACAAAAGTGATTTGTACATGTGTGGGGCAAAGCTGAAGTTGAGTGTTCCACTTATCTACTTAATGCATAGCCTATGGAGAGAGGAACTATCTAGGTGATATTCTGAGGATACTCAATAGTATTACCACATGGTCATATGTAGATACTGTTCATCTCATTCCTAAGGTTAGCACGCTGTTGCGATAGCACTGGCTGATGAAACATTATCTGCAATATCGATTGAGCAGGGTAACTGCAAGATGGTCTGTGCTGGTCTTCTTCAGGTGATTTGGTGTCATGGGAAGATAATTCCCACTGGATGAGCAGTTTCTCTCTTATGTAAGCAGAGCAGGACCAGGTTTGTAGGGGAGGATTAGGGAAAAAGGCAGAGATTCAGGCCTATCTCTTTGTTGACTTGAGCACAGAGAATCAAGAATGAGGATGTCTTTCATTTTGGCATGTAGGCATAGAGAGTCTTGTGAACATTACCATGCATGGCAGCCAAAATTCTTTTGCAGGGATGCTACTTAGTAGGTAGTTAAAATAAGAGTTAACACAGAGCAGGGTCCAAAATCTAGAAATGACTATAGTAACAAAATAGAAGCAAGCGAGCAAGCATGGTCCTTATCAAGCCCACTCAGCCTCTGTGTACACAGTGTCCCTTAGAAAGTGTAGAGTAAGAGATACTTATTTTCTGAACTCAGGAGCTTCTGAGTATCCATAAAGAGGATTTTATAGTTGAATCTAAAGATGGCTGTGAAATAGAAAAGTTAGAATTAGCAGACTCATAGATGTTCACATCTGTTTGGGAGTCACTCAGATATACAGAGCCAGCTAAAGCTAGCAAGCTGTTTTTGCTCAGAAAGTGTCAGCTGTTTTATGATGCTTCCACATAAATTTACTTCCTAACTTAAGAGGGTATTTCACAAGGAGGATTTATTCAGTGTTTTACAGCTTTTCTTGCTTCCAGAATGCTGACTATATTCCTAGGTGATGGACATAGTAAAACTCTGGACAGACTGAGCAAACTTTATTTTCACAACAAAATTTCACTATATTTGAGAATGAAATTTACCTTTCTGTTTTTTTTTAAAGCAAAGAGTACTTTGATAAGGCCATTACTTTGCAGGTTCACTGGACTTGGTTTTCTAAGGGTGCTTATTTTGCGTATACTGCACTCTGCCACTCAAGAAATACATAAAACCTGGTAAACAATAAGATAACAGTAAAGCTCTATTAATGAGATGAGTGCTACAAGCCTCAGTTAATGTTGCAGAAAACATATTTACCTGACAGTTAGGCCAGTATGATATATTTTATTCGATTTGTACATTGTGTTGTTGTGCTTCTTTCTATAATAATTGGATATCTACATTCCTGTATTGAACAGAAAAGAGAATAAGCTAATCTACTTTATTTCTATCAGTGTGAGGTCCAAATTTTGGGTTATTTATAGTAATCAGAGAATTGTTAAACTTCCTATAAAGTTTGATTTGACTGTAATTATCTCAGAGCAGTACTTTGTTATTTTTCTTTTTTTTTTAAATGCCTCTTTTTAAAGTAATATCCCTAATTGAGCATGGCAGCAAAGGCTGGAACCTTACCATGGACACAATGTTTTCTTGCCTTCACAATTCA